TTCGAATTAATTTATAGTTTTCGAATTTAAAGATCTTCTGAACATTACAACTCACCACAAATGGCAAAGCAATTAAATACATGCACCATTTTCGTCCAATACGATTTAAGAGCAAACCAAATATTATATTCCCCGATAAAGAGCCCAAACCGAATAGTGAACCAATCCAAGAGGCCTGCTCAACGGACACTACAAAATTTGTGGGTGAATTTTCCGATTGTAAAATGTGTAGAGTAGGTGAGATCCAACCAGTGGCGATGCCATGGGCAAAGGTTAACATTTGAACTAAAGAGAGTTGGCGGGTGAGGGAGAGAGATAAAAGTTTTAGTAGTTGTTTTACTTTTGGTTCGCTTTTTTTTAGGAATTTCGACTTATATAGATAGGAAATATCGGTAAAACTTTTTAAAAATCCGACGGCAAAGTTTGAAAATTATATATTTTTTTGATTATTCGTTTAAAACTTTTGGTGATCATGATCCCGTTTCCATTATTCCCATATGTAGTCCCGTATGACTCACTTGTTATGGCAGCCAATAACTGATATCGATATCTATGATTCAGCACCGAACTACTGCGCTGTGCAATAACATCTTGTTGACTTGAAACCATATTTTATGCTAAAAATTTCTAACCGCTTACAATTTCGGAACCGTCAACATCCACAATTAATCGTTGACTGATGCGAAATTTCTCAATTTATTCGCACTTGACAGTGACACTTCATATATATATATTTTTATTTAATTAATTTTACTTTTAATAAATCTTTATTACTTTTATGTTTTAAATAAGAATTACTTCAGATTAGATAAAAAACAACATTTAAATTGTTGGTATAATGACGAAAACATTAAAATAAAATTAATTTTTTTATTGAAAAACAAATGAAAACTTCCTTTGCAACAATTATTAGTTTGAGGTACGTGCACGTTATCTCTGATCTAGTATTAGTAGCATCATTATAATCTAAATCTTAAAATTGTTGTTAGTCCCAAAAAATATAACACACCTTCTAAAAGCTATAAAAAAATTAGATTAAATATGCATAAATTAAAATATAAAACATGTACTAGTACAATATTTTCAACGCCTTGGCAAGTACTCACATACTTTATCTAACTGATCCCCAGCACTCACCCCATCATAATCGTTTGCCCCCCACACAAACTATTACGTTGTGGCTCTAACAAAATTATTGAGTTGTGAAAAACATGTTCAACATGTCAAACAACTCATTTTCGAGATAAACAAAATAAGTTTTTTCTTTACAAAAATAACAATAAGAATTTAATTGAAATTGTAATTTAATTTTCTCAAAACAATTTTTGTGTTGTTTACCTTTTTAAGTGCAGTGTAAGTGGCAGTATGAAGTAGTTATTTTAATGTTCCCACAATTATTTTCAATTGATAATGTTGCAAACTTAAAGTTATTAACTTTTTGGTGTTGTTGTAATATTATTAAAATATATCTTGTTTAATAACTTAATCGTGGTTAATCAGAAAATTAAGTCCTTAAAGTAATCTAACAGTGGATTCTTGTAAGTTCCTTGTTTCTTAAAGTTAATAAGATAATATTTTTTTTAAAGAATCCAGGGAGCTTCACTACCCTAATGGAAATTAAGTATAAAATAACTAGCTATATCCAGTGTGCTTTGCTACCCTAAAAGCAATATAATAAAAACCCGGTTTTAGAGATTCTAACTGCAATAGTTTTCCAGATATACAATTTGTTACATATGGGAGATGACACGCAAATTATTGCGTCAATTATCGCCAATTTTTCCGAACGTTAATTTAAATTTTAATGTTAAGTATTTATGAAAAATTTTAATAATCTAATAGTTTCCCAGATATACGGGAGGTGCCAAGCCCCCCATAGAAAGTCCGCCCGTTATTCTCATTAAATTCATGTAAAATTTAAAGATTCTAGCTCGAATAGTTTCTCAGATATATGGGGGTTCCAAGCCCCCCTGCAGATGAAAGTCCGCCCTTTTTTTCTCCAAAATGTTCAGATGAATAATAATGTTCCTCGTGAAAAATTAGTTTCCAAGATAAACGAAGTTTTGTATTTACTTTATATGGGAAGTGCCACGCCCCTGTTTCTAATCCGCTTACTCTTTGTCATAAATAATCATATTGACACTAAAGTGGCTCCGATAAAATTTGAGGACTCCAACTGTTATATTATCTTAAATAAACTGATTTAATATTTCCTTAATATTGGCGTGGCTCCTCTCCTACTTGAAATAAAAAGTAGTTTATAACTTCTTCCAGACATACAGGAATATACTGTGAAAATTTCAAGAAAATCGGTTCAGTTAAAAGAAGTAAGAGTAAAGCTAGCACGAAGACTCATGTAGACACCATTGTGATGAAATATCCAATGGCCGAGTCAATTACAGTGCCTAACATGGGCATTGAGACGATCAAGCCTCAGAATGATTGGCTTGTATCCGATAGACTGTTTTCTGGGTGTGCAATTTACCCTGACGTGTCCAGGATGGATACCGGCACGGGTGTCGCTGTCTATATCGCTGATATCAACATAAAAGGGTCCTTGAGACTCCCTGTCTTCTAAGCATAGATCCTAGCGATATGGAAAGCGACGGAAATGATACGGAATTATATTGATCTGGGGTTGGTTGTGACAATTTATGTTGACTGTTAAGCTGCTCTCAGAGCATTCGCTTGTCACACAGTACATTCGCGCCCGGTTGTAGATTGTAGAGGTTGTAATGAGATTGTTATGAGGTTGCGAACGAACTGGCTAGATTATGTTCGAACCTTGATATGGATGATAGAGAATGAATGATAAAACTACCCATTTGTCACTATAATAGATCAATATTCGAAAGAATCCGTGATATCATTAACCAGTCATGGTATAGTAGAGTGGATTGCAAAATATCGAGGGCCCTATGGCCGAAACTTGATATGGGGGGTACCATAATGCATATAGGGCTGGATAGACACAGTCTAAGGATTCTGAAAGAATCTTTAGGATCTTTGTCAGTAAATGGGACAGTTATATATCGGACTATTGCAGGTTATGCGAAGATGAGGAGGAAGTGAGTACGATCGAGCAAATTATTTGCCACTGTAGGATACAGAATCTCAGGCTGAAATGTTTAGGGAATAAATTCCATGGCGAACTCACAGTATACTAGGTCAATTTTTTGACTGGGTTTTATAGGTAATGACTTGGTAAATCTTGTGGGTTGTATTTTCTTTCTCTACTAATCCATCTTTTTTACCTACCTTCTTCTTTCTTGTATTGTTGTAGTCTTGTGCCACTAGTCTTTGAATCTTCACTCTTTGAAGGAAATCACAATGGACCTTATGGACTTCGAATGGATATGCACCTTTTTATGGTGTATAACCCTTCTAATCCTTCCAAACCTACATGAACTTAGTGTTTTGGGCGCGTAGTCGAGTCTCTGTGAATTTGTATTCAGATGAATCTGCTACGTCATTTGCAAAGGCAATTGTTTTATATTTCAAAGGATATACATAGTTTAAAGAGCCGACACTTTATAGCCAAGTTGGCCTTATTTTGAGGGTGGTACTTTTACAACTACAAGGTGAATTTATTAGACGACTCACCACCGCCCCTTTGTGGTTATTATACAAGCACTTTGCTGAAGTACTTGAGCTATATGCCCCGTTGTTTAATTTCCCGGATGCAAAAACATCTTTTCTATTTACAACCACGCAGATGGAATGGCTTCTCAATCATCCGATATACGACACACTCACCCTAGGTATACGAATAGGTGAAGATCGCATCCAGTATCATATACACTTGATACTAACTCATTTAGTCTCACAATCACTCCTCTCTGGATATCTGTTCTCTAGGCAACAGCACCGAACTTATCACGAATTATAGACTTTACATTGTATCAGTCTTTTAACCAATATTCTTGTCCCGCGACTTTGGGTTAAACCTACAGCTACCACTCCGGTACCCGGAAGCTACCACTCAAATAACCGGGACAAGACCTTGTCAGATCTACCTCATGTCAAATAGTTTATAGTCCTGGGAGACTAGAGGGATTGCAATAACACCAAGATGGGCTTTTTATCAAGGTAGAGAAGAAGAGGAAAGAGGAGTGAAGAGTGAACACACTCTTGAGATGTTTCTCCATTAGACATTCCTAAGATCGTTACGTTTTTGATAAACACATTTGTAGATTGGTCGGTCTACTATGTTATTAAAGGCTTCTTCTATGCCAAAAAAGGTCGGTAATGTGTACTCACCGAATTTTAATGATTTCTCTAGGTATCCAATTAGAGAGTGTAAAAAGATTTGTGTTCGGCATGGGCATATTGAGAGGGAGATAAAAGTTTTCTGTTCACCGATAACTAGGTACAGATGGGATTCTACCCAATATTTATTATATTTTGGGGAAATCGTAGTTAAATACTGGATAAATACCTTTTTTTATTGGGGTAATTATAATTATAACTTTTAACTGAAAATATGCACCATTGTTAGGTCAACAACTTTCTGAGTTACAGAGGGTCAAAGTTTGAGATTTTTGCCAAACATGTGTTTGACCCACTGTCACTCAAAGAGCGGTAGACCGATCTTGTTAAAAATTTGTGTTTAAATAGTATATATACTGGGTCCTTATTAAATTCTAAAAACGAATCTGTCTGTCCATCTGTCGACAGCATGATAGAGTCGGAACGAAAAGAGATCGATATAATCGTTCAAAGGTTTAGCATGGTCCCTATACGAGGAAACCCCGGAAAACAGCTATAACTGTTGTAAAAATAACATTATATCGATGAAACAAGTTGACGCTAGCCCCCATATAAGGTCTATTCAGAAAATTATTTTAACGCTCATGAGTGAATTAAAAATACGAGTACAACGATGAAATTCGTAACAAATAAGTGTTATATATTATTATTGATTCCTCTTCCAATTTTATGCGGATCATAACTGACCCTACACTTCATATAACACCTCTTACAGGTAAATTAATAGATCTAAAGTGTGGATCTATTTTTTATTTTTCAAAGAAATTTGTTTACAAAATCTTCAGCTTTTTTCACTTATCCATGGATTTTCCTTTAGTTTCTTTTAAAAACAATAAGACATACAATCCACCAATAACCGAAACACTGCCACAGCAGTATAACAGGGTGGCAAGACCATAATTTTGCAGGATAAGAGGAAATATTTTCAAGACTGTAAAAATCAATAAGCTAGATATAAACGAACACACAGTGGCGGCAGGGGCACGTATCTGAAAATCAAAATATGATCAAATTAATAACGAATAATAATCTTATTAATATGTCTACCTTAGCGGGGAAAATTTCCACCAATAATAGACCAGTTACCGCAACATTGACTATTAAAATTATAAACGTCATGATAACAATAGGAAACCAATTATAATGTAGCTTCAATTCAGCAGAGGTAAATTGTATATAGAAACCGAAACAAAACAGGCCCAAAGCCATACCGTTCGATGATACCAACATTAAGGGTTTACGACCAAAACGATCTACTAATATAACGGTGAAAGAAGCTCCCAAAATTTGTGCTATACCAACAAGTATGGTGCAGGTATTGGGATGAATATCGGTACCAGCATGAGCAAATATATCCGACATATAGAAGAGAAAAGCCAAACTGCCAGAAAATTGACTTAGGGCCAGCAACATAAAAGCGGTAAAAAATGATTTTAAGGCAGTACAATTGACTGGAATAGAAAGATAATGAAAAGCTATAATTATATAGTAGAATAGGAAAACAATTTTAGACTTACAAAAATCCTTAAATGATAATTTTTCTTGGATATTACTTGATAACATATTTAGCTTGAGTTCCTGAAATTCGCCATCTGTATTGAGTACTTTTTGCTCGCTCTCGTTCGCCTTAATATTCTTGGGCATTTTTGTATTTTTATAAAATTTAAAAGCTTCAAGAGCTTTATCTTCTTGTTGTTTTCTTAATAGAAATTGTGGGGTTTCGGGAAATTTTGTTAAGGCCACTAAATACAAAATGGGAAAGGTAATTATGATGCAAGAATTTAGATAATAATCCAGATGCGATGAAAGCACATAGCCCGTCATAATGCCAAAACTAAAGAATAACATTAACAATGATGATAGAGTACCACGCAAACTGAAAATTTTAAGAGAAAAACAAAATCTTAAGTTCTTAGGGAAAGGTTTAAAAAACAAAAATTATTTACCTTGTATCAGCAATTTCACTAATGAAAATGGGTATCACCAGAAAGAGTCCACCATCAATTATGCCCAAAAGAAATCTAGCCACATAGAGATATATATAAGTTTTCGAGAAAAATATTAAAATCCAGGCCATCTATAGAAAATTGTAAAACAATTCTATTAATAAATATGTTTATCACAAGTTTTAAACCTTTTTACTTACTATATAGGGCAACGCCATTAAATACAAACACCATTTTCGTCCTATGCGATTTAAAATGAAACCAAATAAATTGCCTACTAATGCGCCCAAACCGAATAGTGAACCAATCCAGGAAGCCTGCTCTACTGATACTACGAAATCAGTGGGTGAATCGTCCGACTGCAACTTAAGCAGTGTCGGTGAGGTCCAGCCAATTGTGATGCCATGAGAAAATGTTAAAATTTGAACTGTAGAGTTAGTTCAGATTTTAGCAATTTTTACGCCTGAATTATTTTACCTTTGACTCACCTGATATAGCAGCTAATAACTGATTTCGATATTTTCGCTTCAGTACAGAACTGCAATGCTGTTTAGCTATATCTTGATCACTTGAAAACATTTTTTAGACAAAATTAAAATATTTTAAATATTGTAATCTATTAACATTGAGACAAACAAGTTGAATGAATAGATAAATTAGATAAGAAAACGAAAATGTTGATAAAGCATTTACAGTAGTATTCATACAATTATATTTCAGCTTTATTAAACATTTATAGGCAAAATTTACAAAATTCGTATTCATAAACCTCTAATAACTAAAATCGTAATCTATTTTTATACCCTACACCACTATAGTGGGAAGGGTATTATGCCTTTGTGCTGATGTTTGTAACACCCAAAAATATTGGTCCTACGCCTACTTTAAAGTATACCAACCGTTTCAAAATTACTTCCTGAGTGGATTAAGCTAAGTCCGTCTGTCTGTCTGTCCGTCTGTCTGTGTGTCGCAAATTTTGAGATAATTTGATGAAATTTGGAACGTGCTCTTCCTTTGGCCCAAGGACGAACGCTATCGAAAATGGTTGAAATCGGTCTTTTATATCACCTAGCCTCCATACAACCCCCATACGGACCCTCCGAATAGGGCTTTTGACCTCAAGGATCGGGCATTGTTTGACCCTAGCCCCCATACAAAGCCCCTTTCAGAAAATGACTTGAATGTACACAATTCCCTTATAAGCACTAGTATCACGATGAAATTTGGCACAAATAAGTTCTATATGAACATAAATCCTGACAATAAATTTTATAAGGATCGACCCAAGTTTTGCCCTAGCCCTCATATAACCGGACTTTCCGATTTGGGCCTTTTAGCTCATAACTACGTCAAATATACTAATGTCTTCCAAAAAATTGGCACAACTAAGTTTGATTTAATCCTAAATAACACTGTCAATTTTCGTCACGATTTGACCCTAGCCCCCATACAAAGTCCCCTACTACTATCTACCTCTATATAAGTTGTGCTTAGTTGTGCCAAATTTTGATGAGATAGTAGAATATTTGACATTGTTATGAGTTAAAAACCCCAAAATCAGAAGGTCAGATTGTATGGGGGCTAGGTGATTTCAACCATTTTCAATAGGCATCGTCCTTGTGTCGTATGGTCCAAATTTTATCCAAATATCTTGAAAATTGTGGCCTGTAGCACAAGGTTTACATGGACAGCCAGCCAGCCGGATAGACGGACAGACTGACATATCTCAATCGACTTAGAAAGTAATTCTGAGTCGATCGGTATACCTTAAGATAGGTGTAGGACCAATATTTTTATGCGTTACAAACATCAGCACAAACGTATATAACGATAGTGGTGTAGGGTATAATAAAAGCAAGTAATTATTATTAGAAATTTAGATTTGAGTCGGTTATAACTAGATTTTCACTTTCAATTTTATTTTCTAGTATTAAAATTTAATGGCAGCATAAAAATCCGTTTATGTTTAAACGATTTTTTATCCCATATTAGTACTTGATTATTATCATCTAAAGATAAGATTAATTTTATTTATCTTTAGATACAATGTATTTAGTTTAATAAAAAAATAGAGATAAGCTAAGTCTAAAATATGTTAAAAAGCAACATGCTTATACTTTAGTCTATTGAAATCATCTCTCCATATTATTTCATCTATCCATAGATGTTCCTTTAGTTTCTTTTAGAAATAGTAAGATATATAGTCCACCAATAACCGAAACACCACCACAGAAGTATAACAGGGTGGCTAGGCCATAATTTTGCAGTAAAAGAGGAAATATTTTCAAGGCTGCAAATATCATTAAACTAGTGGCAAAACAGCATACAGTTGTGGCAGGTGCACGTATCTAAAAATAAAACAACTTTATAACAAATCGATTCAGTAAAATAAATTAGTTAATTGGCCTACCTTAGCGGGAAAAATTTCCACTATTAATAGACCAGTCACTGCTACATTGACCAATAATATTACAAATGTCATGATAACAATGGGGAACCAATTATATGTCAACTTCAGCTCTGCTGTGGTAAATTGTATATAGAAACCAAAAGCCAAAAGTCCCACAGCCATGCCACCCGATGATACCAACATTAAGGGTTTACGACCAAAACGATCTACCAATATGACGGTGGAAAAAGCTCCTATAATCTGTGCTATACCCGTAAGAATGGTACAGGTATTGGGATGAATATCGGTACCAGCATGAGCAAATATATCCGACATATAGAATAGAAAAGCCAAACAGCCAGAAAATTGACTTAGGACCAGCAGCATAAAAGCGGTAAAAAATGTTTTTAAGGCCTCAACACTGACTATATTAAAGTAAAGGATATCAATGTATTGCAATGAATCTGATCAATTTTAGACTTACCAAAATCCTTAAATGATACTTTTTCCTCGATATTATTTGATAAAATATTTAACTTAAGTTCCTGAAATTCGCCATCCACATTAAGTTCCTGTTGCTCGACTTTAGTTGCCTCAATATTCTTGTGCCTTGCTAAATTTTTATAAAACTTAAAAGCTTCATGAGCTTTTTCAATTTTCGTTTTCTTAATAGAAATTGTGGGGTTTCGGGAAATTTTGTTAAGGCCAGTAAATACAAAATGGGAAAGGTAATTATGATACAAGAATTTAGATAATAATCCAGAAGTGATGAGAATACAAAGCCCACCATAATGCCAAAACTTAAGAATAACATTAACAATGATGATAGAGTTCCACGTAAACTAGAATATTTAAAGGAATAAGGAAAAAAATAACATTTTACACTATTTGCAATCTTTTCATAAAAGTAGATGATCCATTTACCTTGCATCCGCTATTTCACTAATGAAAATCGGTATAACTAGGAATATACCACCACCAGTTACTCCTATAAGAAATCTAGCCAAATACAGATAAAAATAAGTTTTCGAAAAAAATATTAAAATCCAGGCAATCTGTAGAAAATTATAAATTAATAATATCATAATATCAGTTGAAAAATTTGTACTTACTATATAGGGCAATGCCATTAAATACAAGCACCATTTTCTTCCTATACGATTTAAAAGGAAACCAAATAAATTTCCTACCAGTGAACCCAAACCGAATAGTGAACCAATCCAGGAAGCCTGCTCTACCGACACTACAAAATTTGTGGGTGAATCATGGGACTGCAACTTAAGCAGTGTCGGTGAGGTCCAACCAATTGCTATGCCATGGGCAAATGTTAAAATTTGAACTGCAAAGATACATATTTAAGATTTAAATATTCTCCATAAAGTTTTGCCTTAAACCTACCCGCTATGGTAGCCAATAATTGATTTCGATATTTTCGATTTAGCACAGAACTGTTATGCCGTTTAGTTATATCTCGATCATTTGAAAACATATTTTAGACAATTTTTTTTATTTTTTAAAATTAGAAACCGTATACATTGAGACAATAAAATTGAATGAAGAAATGAAATGTTTCCCAAAATAAGATAAAGAATGAAAAGTTTGATAAAACATTTATTATTTACAAGAAACTAATCTTTAGTTGTCTGCCTTTAGACTTGAAGATTTATCTCGCAGAGTACAGTGGGGTAAATGTTAAGATGCGATTTTTGTTGATTAAATATAAAATAACATTGGTCCGGACTTATAGTCTTGTTTATATAAGTCCTTAGTCTTTTTTTAGGACTATAGTCTTGGCTATAGTCTGGACTAGTTTTGACTACAGAATTACCTATAATCTGAACTATACCTTTATTTATAGTTTTGACTGTAGTCTTGTCTGTATTAAACATAAAATAACATTTGTCCGGACTATAGTCTTGTTTATATAAGTCTGTAGTCTTTTTTTAGAGTTGTTAGTTTTTTCGTTTATAGTCTTGTCTGTAGTTTAGACTATGGTCTTGCCTATAATCTGAACTATAGTTTTGACTGTAGTCTTGTCTATAGTCTTGTATATAGTCTGGACTATTGTCTTGTCTATAGTCTGAATTATAGTGTTGTCTATAGGCTTGTTTATAGTCTTGACTATAGACTTGCCTATAGTCTTCACCGTGGTCTTGCTTATAATCTTGACAGTAGGTTTGTCTATTGTCTTGTCCATAGTCTGAACTATAGTCGGGACTCTAGTCTTGTCTAGAGTCTTGTTTATAATCTTGACTATAGTCTGGATTACAGTCTTATCTATAGTCAGGATTATAGTCTTGCCTATTATATTGCTTATAATCTTGACTATAGTTTTGTCTATAGTCTTGACTGTTATCCCTTCTATAGTCTGGACTATAGTCTGACCTACATTCTTGTCTATAGTCTGGACTACATTCTTGTTTATAATCTTGAATATAGTCCTGTCTATAGTCTGGACTATAGTCTTGCCTATGTTCTGGACTATAGTCCTTTCTATGTTCTGCACTATAGCCTAGTCTATAGACTGGACTATAGTCTTGCCTATTCTCTTTTTTATTTTTGTAATCTTGGCTATAGACTTGTCTATAGTCTGGACTATAGTCTTGTCTATGGTCTGGACTATAGTCTTTTCCATAGTCTTGAATACATTCATGTCTATAGTAATGGCTGTGGTCCATAGTCTTTTCTAAAGTCTCCTTTTTAATCTTGACTATAGTCTAGTCTATAGTCTTGACTGTAGTCGTATTTATAGTCTGTACTACAGTCTTGTCTATAGTCGTGTTTATAATCTTGACTATAGTCTTGTCTATAGTCTGTACTATTGTCTTGTCTATGTTCTGGACTATAGTATAGTCTATAGTATTGGCTATTCTCTTGTTTGTAATCTTGGCTATAGTCTTGTCTATGGTCTGGACTACAGTCTGGTCCATAATCTGCATTGCAGTCTTTTCCATAGTCTTGATTACATTCTTGCCTATAGTCAAAACTGTAGTCATGTTTATAGTCTCGTTTATAATGTTGACTATAGTCTTATCTATAGTCTGGTCTATAGTGTTGTCTATTGTCTGGTCTTTAGTCTTGTCTATAGTATCGTTTATAATCTTGACTATAGTTTTGTCTATAGTCTGGTCCACAGTCTTGTCTATAGTCTTTTCAATAGTATGCACTATTGTCTTGTCTATAGTCTTGTTTATAATATTGACTATAGTCTGGACTACGGTCTTTTCTTTAGTATGGACTACAGTTTTGTCTATAGTTTTGACTACAGTCTTGCCTATAGTATTGACTGGGGTTTTTTTTTTATTGTCTGGACTATAGTCGGGACTATAATCTTGTCTATTGTTTTGTTTATTCTCTTGACTATAGTCTTGTCTTATCTGTAGTCTGGATTATAGTATTTTCCATAGTCTGGATATAGTATCGGCTATAATCTTGTATATAGTCGGTAAAAAATATCGCTTATTTTATAATGACAGCAGCCTTTGAGAGTCGCTACTACGCAAACATTTTTTCTTATACATTTTCTCAGCTATCGTCCCACTGTGCGATAACATTATTAGCACTGCATTATCTGAGAAAATTGTGTTTGATGCATGTTTTAAATTATTTAGATTTAAATTTCGTAGATTAATAAAGGCCTAAGATAAATAAACAGGCCTAAAATATGATAAACAATAACGATTATGAATTTGTATACATTAGGGTGATACCTTTTCTAACATTTTTCTAAATATTTAAATGCCGAATAATTTATATAAAATATCGTTCCTGTTTAATTAATTCAGTCTATGTAAAAAAAATAAAAATTTCATATATATACAGATAATATAAATCAGCTTAAAACTATTCCTAATATTATAAAATAGTATTCGAAATTCTGCAGCAGTCTTCTTCACTTATCCAAGGTTTTACCTTTAGTTTCCTTTAAAAAGAGCAACATATAAACCCAACCAATAATGGAAACACTACCACAGCAGAATAAAACTATGGCTAGACCATATTTTTCCAATAAAAGTGGAAATATTTTCAAGGCAACGAAAACCATAAAACTCATGCAGGCCATAGACATAGATATAGCAGGGGCGCGAATCTAGAAAAGAAATTGAACGAGAGTTAAAAAGTCAAATAGGTAAAAGTGGTAACTGAATCCAAAATCTTACCTTGGCGGGTAAAATTTCCACTATTATAGTGAATACTAGGCCTGTTACCCCTATACTGGATATTAATATGATAAATGTCATGATAACTAAAGGCAACCAATTATATTCCAATTTCAAAGTCGATGTGGTAAATTGTATGTATAGTCCTAAACCGAAAAGACTCAGAGCCATGCCACCTGAGGATATTAACATTAACAATTTACGACCAAAATTATCCACTAATATTACACTGATAAAAGTGCCCGTAATCTGAGCTATACCCATGATAATGCTGCAGGTATTAGGATGAATATCTGTACCCGACTGAGCAAATATTTCCGACATATAGTTGAGAAAAGCAAAACTGCCGGAAAATTGGTTTAAAGCCATTAGAACAAAAGCGGTGAAAAGGGCTTTTAAAGAATCGTAACAGGCTAAAATATATCAGATAATAAAATTTTTTTAAAAATGAATCTGAATTTTACATACCAAAGTCTTGAAATGTTAATTTCTCCTGATTATTATTACTTGAATATATGTTTTCTTTAAGTTGTTCAAATTCAGAATTGACTGTTAACTCCTCTTGTTCGCTTAAAGATGATTCAATACTCTTGTACTTTGGTAAATTGTTATAAAACACGAAAGCTTTATGGGCCTTATCTTCATGATGTTTTCTCAACAGATATTGCGGTGTTTCCGGAAATTGAGCAACTGCTATCAAATATATTATGGGAAATATAATTATTATGCAGGGATTTAGATAATAATCCAGATGTGATGACAAAACAAATCCCGACATAATGCCAAAACTTAAAAACAACATTGCCATTGAGGATAAAGCTCCACGTATACTATGAAAGTGAAGCAGTTAATATTAGGACCGATCAAAATATAGCAATAACTTACCTTGGATCTGCAATTTCACTAATAAAAATCGGTACTACCACAAACATGCCACCACCAGTAATGCCAGTTAAAAATCTTGCCACATACAGATAAATATAGCTTTTGGAAAATAATATTAAAATCCAGCCCATCTATTAAGAAAAATACATATAAAATTTAAACCAATCTACTGAACTTTTAATTATATTTACCATATTAGGCAGAACTAATAAATACAGGCACCATTTTCGTCCAATGCGATTTAGAAGCAAACCAAATACTATATTTCCTGCTAGTGAACCTAAACCGAACAAAGAACCAATCCAGGAGACTTGTTTAACTGTTATCACAAAATTAGTGGGTGAATTTTCGGACTGTAGTTGACGCAGGGTTGGTGAAGTCCAACCAACTCCAATGCCATGAGCAAATGCTATAAATTGCACTAACAGGAAATAAAATTACTAAAGAGAAGTCTAATTTATATATTAACTTCCACTCACCTGTTATGGCAGCTAATATCTGATTTCGATAACAACGATTCATAACAGAACTGTGGTTCTGTTTCAATTTCTCTTTATCACTTGAAAACAT